AGATGAAGTGCCCTGGGCCTGGCGCGCCTTGGGCCTACTTGTTTTGTTTTTCACACCCCCATATTCCTATTTGCACCCCCTTTGCTTATTTTGTTTATTTTTTCATATTTTCTCATATTTTTTATGTTTATTGATTTTAATATTTTTTCTGAACATCAAAAAATCATGAAAAATATTTTCTTTATTTTTTGCATTTTATTTTATTTTTTATTTTATTTTTTGCATAAATATTGATTTATTAGAATAAATAGAATCTATTTTCTTAAAATAAATAGTAAACATATTTAAAAATATCATACATTTTTATTTTTATTATCCATACACATAAAATATTACTTCCACATATATTTTAATTTTTAATATTTGTAAATAATTTTATTTATTTTTCTTGTACATAAATGAATAAAATGAATAATATAAAACATATTTTCTTTTAAAATCAAAAAAATTACGGTTTCCCCTTTCAAAAAATAATATTATTAGTTTTCTTATTTTTAGGACTTAAATAATTTTATTTTTACATATATAAAATAAATACAAAAACATTTTGCATCCATACATTTTATTGCATATTTAAATACTGTATATTTATTTATTTATTGTACAATAATTCAATTGGGTTGTAATAATTTTTAGGTTTTTATTTTGAGCAATATCCCTCATTCAAAACTTGTATCCCCTCTCCCATAATATTGTTGTAATAGCTTAGATTTATTTTACGCAATTTATCGCATTATATACATGTTTAGTAAAACTAGGGTTTGCATGATAAGACAAAAATCAAACAAATACAAGACCTAATACAAGACAAACAAAATGCATGTAAAATGATAACACATTGCACACAAGCACCCCTAGGGTTTCACCCACCTGGTTGCCTTACAAAATGGCCATGGTATGTGTGACACCCCAAATTTATTCAAGTGTTAAATAATTAGGAATTTAATTATTAAATTAATTAAAGGCTTAATTAATAATATTTTGGATTAAATGGATGAATTAATTATGGAATTAAAAAGGAAGACCGGGGGTTTGAGGGTCAATTCGAAAGAGGGACATACAGTCACTAAAGCAATGTTAGGATGCCTTAGTGGTAACCCTAATGTCTTAGATTATTTATCCGAGGCAATGATATCCGAGGCAACCTTTTCGATGCAACTTTTGATCTTTTAGACAAGAGGACGACCTCTAAAACAACCTATACTCAATGATCGTTTTAAAGAAGGCAACCAAGTGGGAGTGTACTCTAGGAGTGCGCATGTGCGAGTGATTCAGTTTCAGATTTATTTATCTTTGCACATGTTTAGGGTGATCTAACCGTTTTAAAATTAAACATACATTCTTGTCATGCATCCTAAATCATACATCTAACAATTAATATTTTGCGGAAATTAAACTAAGCTATTACAAGGCTTCGGGTATTTACATAGCCAAAAACAAACCCTTCGAAATTAAAGCGATAAATGTAGAATAAACGTCCTAATTAAACTATTACATCCCATGAGCAGTTACATTAAATATCATAGAAAAATAAATAAAAGCGGTAAAGGTAAATAAACGTCCTAATTAAATTATTACAAACTGTGAGCAGATACAATAATTGGGCAAAACAATAATATAGCGCGCGATTAAAAATTAGATCGACGAGAAATTAGGGTTGTGACCCTTCTATCCTAATTAAACTCAAGCAAACGTTAGCATACCATAAAATGTGATTAAAATTAGAGATTCGAAATTTAAAATTTTACCAAACCGGTGTTGTTAAATGGGGGCGTGTTAGGCGTGTGATGGATTGCTCTTGGGCCTTGTAAGACTCTTGAGGACTTCAAGAGGATGGTTTGAGGCTTGATGTCAATTGAGAGAGATCGGAACCTCGAGATATGACTTGTACCAATTCTTTGATTTCTGGAGAGCTTTTTGAAGAGCTTTTAGAGAGCTTTCTAGAGAGGATTTTCGTCCCTTTCAAGCTTGTATGGCTCTATATTTATAGAGGAGAATGAGGAGACAAGAAATCATGGAAAGAATCTCCCTCATAATGTTGTGTTTTAAGACCATGATCAAGATTTGAAAAAAATGCCATATTTGATGATTTTATGCTATTTTCACATGCGGATGAACCTGGACATATTTGAAAAGTTATTGCACGAAATCAATTGACATAAACCAGCATAAAACTTTCCCAAAATGGATTCACATCAAAATTTACATTATTTCTATTATTTATTTATTTAATTCTGAATTTTAATGAATAAAATATCAAAATAAATAGCATAAATAGTAGAAAAATGTATGGGTGGGCTTAGAGGTCGTGGACCATGTTAGGAATGAGTTTCAAACTTGAAAAGATAGGCCCATTTGGAAAAAATCCAAGTTTGGTCAATATTTGCTTCATGCATTTTTTCAAAAATTGTCCAACTTTTACAATGCATATCTCTCTCAATTTTGACTCTTTGGAGGTGTTCTTGGACTTTTTAGAAATATTAGTATGTCCCCTAAGAAACCTATTTGGTTTCATCTCAATTGGATCTTCCATGTTCATGTAAGAAGCTTTGACAAAAAAGGTGTTTTTGTTGACTTTTCAAAATGACTTATAATGTCCAAATTCATAACTTCTTGTGAGTGCATATATTGAAATTGGGAGATGAAGATGGATTGTAGGGAATTGCATATTCTTCAAAATTATCTTTGGATGGGTCATTTCTCATAAAGTATGAGAAAGTTATGCTTGGTCAAAGTTGGGTTGACTTTTCCTACAAAACCCTAATTTAGCAACTTTTGAATCTTGATGAATTTTGAGTAATCCTTGATGAGTCATGATCAACCCTTAATCAAATGATGAAATATACTTCAAAATGAGAATTTTGACAAAAACAAATCTTGAAGTTTGACTGTATGTAGGTCACAGTTGACTGTTGCCCTAGCACAGTCGACTTTTGGACTTTTGAGCAATTGACTGAGCAAACTTCCTCTACAAGGCTTGAAATTTGACATGGATGATCTTGACAAAATATTAAGACATTAGGGATCATTTGAGGTCATTTGGACTCAAGGATCTTGATGCAACATAAAACCCTAATTTGGGGTAGACTGCCTTAGGAGATAACTTGTCTGGTCAATCCTTGAGCAACCTTGAGCAACTTAGAGATCTTTCTTGCAATGTTTTGAGAAATATGGGAGGGAAAATTTGGGGGTACAACAGCTGTCCCTGTTCAATCTTCTTAAACTTGAGGATGTAGATTGGCTTTTATGCCTTTCGTGATCTGAAGGTGGAAGATGATTGAACACTAGAGTGCCTAGAAATTTGCACTCGCATGAAGTGGTATTAGCCTTGCGATGTCAAGAATGGGATTACAGATGCCATTTGGAGATTGGTGACGAGGGGATGGGCTTAAATATGCCATCTAAAGGAGTTTTGATCGCATAAGAGATTCCTTAGCGAGAGCTTGTATACCTGTAGTTATGGAAGATTCCGCTGGGGAAGTCTGATCTTTGTTGAGTCTACGGGAGACTAACCTATGAAAAAGTGGAAGCAAAGAGTCTACGGGAGACTAACCTATTTCTAACCTAATGTTATCATACAATGGTGGTCCTAAGATCCGGGTTAACAAAAGGGAAATGTCTACCTAATGTTAGCATTCATGGTTTGTAACCTAAGGTCTAACTTGCATTCGAAAGGAATAAGCACGTCCTAAGGGAATATGGTATGTACAAGGATAAAACATGCAAGCTCGAAAGAGAATACACATAAAAGAGTAAGGAAAAGAAACGAAATGCTTTAGTCAAGGGGAGCGTATCACCCGAGACAAATAAGCAGGAGTGAGATGAAAAAAACAAAATGTGATATCCAAAGTGACTGAACAACTAACCAAGATATAGGAGATCAAGGTAGACGACAGAAGGTGATATGAACAATCACAGAGTATCAGCATTGGCCAATGCGAACTCCTGACAAGGCATGGGGGTTCGATTATGGAACCCTTCCCCACTTGATGACTCGATACACAAGAGCATGCACAACTCTGAAGCATCATGGTGCGTCACGAGCTAATGATGACACATACAAAATTGCGGAGGTTGATTACTAACCCTCCTTGCTCGCCTCCTTTTGAGGACTTCAATAAGGAATGGAGGAATAATGCAGGCATAAATTTAAACACACCTGCAGCATACCTACTCAAAGGTAGGGTTTTAAACAAACCACACACACATAAGTAGAACACAATGGAAAACAATATGGAATTTCCCTAAACGAGTCTTTAAATAAACCAGAGGGGTTCCTGACATGATCATCAACGGACACCCCCATCATACATCTCTACCCTACTTCTCATGGCATCAGAAAGCTGTAAAGCCCTACTTCTCATGATCTCTAGAAAAGTGGCAAAGAAGTATGATAAAGTGCGGAAATGAGGAATAAAATAAGGTCACAATGATACTGAACGAAGAAGGTTCGTTGCCTCCTCAAAACCATGCAAGCGATAACAAACAAACTCTACCAAAAGCTTCCCTGAATTTCTTTGATGAAAATTATGCTCTTGGCTAGGTTTAGAGCTTCATGAAATCTTCATTTAAATCTCTTTTATTTACCAATATCACCAAAAAATTCAATCACCAAAATTAATCGCAAATGCAATTGAAACAAGTATTGAAAATAAGACCTCAAGAGGTGCAAGCTGGATTCAACGCGTATAATCCAACAGTTCAATATGTGGTATAAAGCCCAATCCGTAGAGCCATTTTGTTTGTAGCACTTTCAAGCCACCAAAAATGGTAATGGGCCTTAGTAGGAAAAAAATTGACCCACTACCATCACCAACCTCATCCTGCAATTCCATACATCCTTTCAACTTCATTTAGATTACTTGTTGTTAAAAAATAAATAAATAAAATTAAAATAAATAAAAGTGAGGAAGCAACGATGTTTGGCACAGATAGGGTTAAGGGAAATGTCTATTCATCTTTCTCGATCAGAAGCATTCTCTCTTCTCAAAGCTTCAACGATGTATTCACCGACACACCTCCGTCTCATCTTCTTCTTTAACTCCGATTATCTCCGCTTCCAATTGATCGCTCAGCCTTTTCTCTCGGCATTATCCTCTTCACTTCTCAGCCTTCGTCTCGCTCCATACGTCACCGTCAGATTCACCGTTGTGATTTCTCCCCTCTGATTCGAACTTACCTCCATCCGTTTGTTTTCACGATCTCCGTTGCGGCTTTACAGGAAGAAAAGGGACCGAATCGATCAAACAGAGTAGAAGAGGTACATTTCACTTTTAGGTTCCTCTTCTCTATATTTCCATTTTCCTTCTTCGCATTTTTCTTCTTCTTCTTTTTTGAGTTTTTGTTTCTATTGCAGAGACGGCGATGACGATATCGTTGTTTGTTGTGACGATGTGCAGAAGTTGATGACGTTGAATATGCAATGAAGATTCAGGAATTTCTCCAGGTAGATGATTAACTAGAGAGGATCATTGAAGGTCGAAAATTGAAGGTTTAAGATGGCTGAGAAAGATGAAGATGGATATTAGAGAGAGGGAGAGAATTTTCTGAGTTTTTCTTCCTGGTGATTCTTCTAACTGATTGAAGAATGATGGGGATTCTGGAGATTACGCAGGAGCTTTAAAGGTGATGAAAACAAAAAACTGAAAGATCAATGAGAGGTTTTTTTGGTGAGTTTCCACTCTCTGATTTCCTCTGGTTATCAATCATATCCCCTCCTCTCTTTTCTATTAGAAATCTGTTATATTTTGTTATATCCCCTGCTGGAAATTTGTTACAGAATTGGTTAGAAGATAGGAATCAATTAGAAGTTGGTTAGGGGTTTTTTATTCTGTTAGGCTTCAGTTAGGAACTGAAATTCTATTAGGAATTGGTTATAGAAAACAATTATGTTACAGTTAGTTAGCAAGGTTGGTTGAAACTCTGTTATGCTGTTAATTATTTGGAAACTAGTTAGTTCTGTTTGGAAGTTAGCTAGAGTTAGGGAAGTTAGCTGACAGAGCTAAAAAAACAGGTAGATGTTAGTTATAGGAATTAGTTGGGAGATTGGTCAGAACTGTTAGTGGGTTGAAAATTAGTAGTTAGTTATTCCTAAAAATGAAGTTATTGAGTGGATTTTTGAAGTCAGCTAGCAGTTGGATGATATTATGGTAGTATACTGGTTTTCTATTTGGTGTGCTGAAGTGTTAGAGCTGATTTTATGTATATGGGTTGTTTTGGTTTATTGGTTGTGGACTGATTTTATGGCTGCAACTATGTGTATGGTTATTATGTGTTAGTGAGTTAATTCATGTCTAGATTTAACGCAGGCCATGTGCAGGATGTTATGGATCTATCTCAGAACATAGCAGATTTTCTTGGCCAGCTTTGTACATGTTAATAGCATAGTGAAGCAAAGCTTGATGTAGGTTGGAACATGAAGGTTACTTGAAGGGCGCATAAACACAATTGGAACAACTTGAACCTTGGTCGGTCAAAGGCTTTTGGAGCATGAGGAAGTTGACATTAAGTGGAAACCTGGCGTTGGGTTTTGATAATATGAAACACGGGTGAAGCTAAAGATTGGAAGCAATAAGTCTTTGGCCAAAACTTTGTTTTTTTTTGTGATTTTCTTTGGTGTAATGTAATTGTAATTGAATTTGAAAGTGATGTTGAATATGGCTTGAAATGGTTTTTTCTTTGTAATGGAAACTTTGATTCGGAGTTATTTGAACATGTAAGGATTTTGGTCAAAGTTATAATGTATCCTTGAATTTGTAATAAACAAAACTTGAATCAAGTTTGAGTTATTTTCCCTCCATTCTTGTTTCATTTAAAGTTTCAAGTCTTCTCCCATTTGTACTTTGTGCCACGCCATGCTATACTTAGACAAACCACGAGATAAAAGCCAAAAGTGACTAAAGAATACTTTGGTCAGCGGTCCACCTTCCATGGTTGATTGGGACTACGAGTCAAGGCTTGCGGAAATGACTTCCTTCTTAGAAAGGATTCCCAAAATACTCCACGTAAAACCTCAAATCCTAGCATAAGATGCAAAGTAAATGTATTGAACCAATCTTTGAATTGACGATAAGAAAGTACAAATGCAACCCTAATTCATCTTATGACACAAATAAAATGAAATGACTTTCAATCCATGATCCACAAGAATTTTATGTCCAAATGCAACATCTTTGAAAGAAGTCTATCGGAATGAGTTGCACCACAAGTAATAGAGGAACCACACCTCCTATGATGAACGATGACTAAAGCCCACATAATGAGAGAAATAGGCCCATGATGATTATAGAGCCAAACCCTATCCATATCCAAAGAGAAAACCAGTTAAACCAAGTTTGTAGAGTGTTGATCAAAAGCCCCAAACCATGTAGAAACCCAATCTCATAAGACCCTCAATTTAATCCATGGTTAAACCCTAAACACTTGATACTCTTGAAGGAAACTTGATGAAGATGAAAATCTTGAGTACCACATAAGTGAAGCCCTTTGACCTTAAGGTATCTTGATGAAGAAGCTTGATGAACTTTGATAAGGAAGATGCTTATGAAAAACATGAATTCAAAAACCCTAACTTTAAAAACTATGATTGATAAAGCTACCAGCAGCTTCAACCTTGAATGAAGTAAAAGCCTCTAAGCATAGAGAAACCCTAACTCTTCAAGAGCCTTGATCCCATGACAGGTTATGATGAATGTTGTGTATAATTACCTAATGGAGGGTATACAGATGAAATGAGAATGGAAAATGCATAATCCAGATAAAAGTGAAAGGGTAGGAAAAATTTGGGGTATTACACCAGACTTTGGAACATATGATTTCTTCCCGTCATGTGTCGAGATCATCCAGAGTCTAGGTACCAAGACTGGTGTTTCAACTTTGTTGCTAAAGACATCTGCAACATAGATAATTTTATTCTTAGATACCCATATCTTTTTGGGTCCTTTTTGGTTAGAGTTTCAAAAATTCTGATTGAATGTTGGTTTTTCATAAGAGTTCACAGAATATGATTCACTAGTATATTTTATATCATGTGTGTGTCCAAATGTGAAATATGAGTCCAAAGGTGTGTGTTTTATGACCATGTCATCTACTTGTTTTGGTTGATATGTTTCTTCTCCTCGTGGTTCCACATATCCTATACCTTTTCTGTCATTTCTGCTAACTCCATAGATCATTGAAGTCATCTTGCTTCTATCTATGTTTCTAGCTAGAAATGTTTGTAAGCTATAATCATATTCTTTTATGATGTTATCAGAACTAGTTGAAACTTCTGAGACAAGTTCTTTCTGAGCATTTTGCAATTCCTTTTTAATAAATGATTTTTCATTTTCGAGTTTAGATTTAATTTATTTTAGCTTAGAGTTTTCTGCTTTTAGTTTCCTAGTTTCTTCAGTTTCAGATACTAGACCATGTTTCAGGTTCTTGTATTTGATTTGAAGTTATCGATATTTTTCAAGAATTTTAGACAGACTATCTTCTAATTGAGATCTAGAGAATTTAGAAAATACCTCTTTCGTGTCTGAGTCTGATTCAGGTTCTGATGAATCTGTGTCATCTGATACATTGGTCATTAATGCTATATTGGCTCGTTCATCTTCTGATTCGGTTTCCGCTTCAGAAGATTCTGAGTTATCCCATGTTTCCATAAGACTTTTCTTCTTTTCTTTGACAAATTTATTTTTCGGCTTTTCTTTATGAAGTTTGGGGAAATCACTTTTATAGTGGCCTGACTCTTTGCATTCATAACAGACAACATCTTTGTTGCTTGACTTTCTGTATCCAGAGGATAATTCAAAGCGATTAGCTGGTCTTTTAGGATTTCTGAATTTCCTTTGTCTTTGCTTCCATAGCCGATGGACTCTTCTGGAGAGAAGAGATAATTCATCTTCTTTTGATGAGGATCCACTAGAGCTTTCTTATTCTGCCTGAAAAGCTTTAGTTTCATATTTTTTTTTAGATTTAAGAGCAAGAGACTTGCCTTTCTTTTGTGGCTCATCTTCTTTTAGTTCTATTTCGTGACTTCTCAAGGAGCTGATTAGTTCCTCAAGTGATATAGTGTTCAGATTTTTGGCTAGATTTAAGGTTGTGACTATAGGTCTCCACTTCTTGGGTAAGCTTTTGATGATTTTCTTTACATGATCTGCTGTGGAGTACCCCTTGTCCAGAACTTTCAATCCAGCAACTAGAATTTGAAACCATGAGAACATTGTCTCAATTGTTTCATCTTCTTCCATATTGAAAGCCTCGTACTTCTGGATGACTGTAAAAGATTTGGTCTCTTTGACTTGTGTTTTACCTTCATGCATCATTGTTAGAGATTCAAATAGGTTCTGAGTCGTATCTCTGTTTGTGATCTTCTCATAATTAGTGTATGAGATGGAACTCAAAAGGATTGTTCTGGCCTTGTGATGATTTATGAACTCTTTCTTTTGTTGATCTGACATCTTTTTTTTGTCGATCTTATGGCTGCTTGCATCGTCTGGATGAATGAAGACATTAGTTACCATGTCCCAGATATCAGCGTCATGAGTTAGAAACATACTTTCGATTCTGTCTTTCTAGTAATCAAAGTTTTCACCATCAAAGATTAGAGCTTTGCCACTGATTCTGTCTTTCTCATCATGGTTGTCGTTGTTGTTGTTTTGAACTAGTTCTACCAACGTTTTCATCAGTTCTTACCTAGAAGAGAGAGTACAAAAATCTTGGAAGGTTTCTGCAAAAGATGATCTATCAATTTGTATTCACTCTTCTTAATCAACTTCAGGACTTCATCAATATCATTATTCAAACTCGTTTTCTGGATTGTCCATTCTCTACCCCCAGGATTAGGAATTATAACAGGAGCTTCGTTCAGGACATTTCCAACCTTTCTTAGAGGTACAATGGTGAATACACGTGGATATATATTATCATAGAAAAGCATCCACATGGATTTATAGAGTAGACCCTGCATGTGGCATGGTTATCTCCAACAAGTGCAAGCCTGTATAGATTGGCGTGCATTTGAACCAATGATTCCCTAACATGTCTGACATCGAAAACTTGATACTTACTAGGAAAACCATCCACCATATTTACCACATGTCCATCTCTATTTCTTTTGACTTGAATGAGACCTTGGTCTAGCAGGCGTTGAAGGCCTCTCTTCACAATATGGCCACCATGGGAGTCTCAACAACAAATCTGACAAGAATCATAGTTGTGCCGCTCTTGACAATTCTTACCATAAAAGGTAGCGTGCATTTGCGCCAAATTTCCTCTTAATAAATAGTCATCAAAGATACGGTACTCGCCAGGGCACCCATATACCATATTCACAATATTTTCTCCATGATTAGGTAGTGGATTAACTTACACATTTGGGCCAACATCTCTGAATGATAAGAGACCATTTCTAACGAACTTCTGGACTTCCATCTTCAATGGG